CGCCTAGTTTAGCCTCTCTATTACCCGCTGCCTTCGCGAGACACGCCCGTGTCGGCCGTGTTCAGATAAACACGGATTCGCCCGATTTCACAACGGATCCAGCCGTTCCGTATCCATCCATCCACGGCCGAGGCCTATACAGGAAGAGCCTCTTTTCCGCGCGCTGCGCAGCGCTGAGAGGGTGCGACAAACAAATGCACCGCGTCAGCCCGGCGTGACACTCTTCCGTGGCTCTGGGCTGCCTCGGTAAAAGGGGGATACGAACCCAGCCGTGGAGGTGGTTAAGGCGAAGAGGCCCGGTAGAGCAAGAGGAGGATGAAAAGCGGAGGATGGTAGAAGCCGTGCTCAAGTAGACATGGGACACGTCAGCCGCCATCCTTCTACTCAGCCTTTTATAGATTATTCACGTACATACAATGGTCGAGTGACAAGTGGCGGGCCACGCCGCATGCGACGATGGATTTCTGTCCCTTCTTTAACCGACCAGGAAGTCTCAATTTTTTTTTTTTTTTTTTTAAAGTGCAAGTGAATGTGGGGGCAGATAACGAGGCAATCAGTTTTGAGACCCGTTTCTGGATGACGGTGTTTCAGTACTGTGATGGAATGGTAAAGTTGATCGTCAATTGAGATTTCGGCGCAGGTGGGAATGAGGTTCGAATGATGAGCATTTTGTGTCTTTTGCATACACTATCTGAGTTTCAAGAAGCTTGCTTCGTTAACACGTTGGTGCCCGTTGTTGATGATCTGCGTCGCGGGCAGAGACTGAAGCTATACAGGCAAAATATCGGCCCCAACGTGTTAATCGCTACTTCAGTGTATTTATCTTAAATTTCACCCGTAAGGATTCGCTAAAGTGAATATAGTGAAAGAAAGAAGACCCATACAGGCAGGGGATCATACTGCTTTGGCTTCAAGAAGTCATACGTTGTTCACTAAATTATAATAACTGTTTTTCAATTCAGTATTGTTCGCCAACAGCCAACATTTGTCTCAGTTCTACATGATCCACGTACACGATTCAAAATGCTATCCACTGTGATACATTTTTCACTCTAGATTAATTGTACAATCAATGAATCTCTTGTAGTAAGATTTAACCTGAATTAAACCACGGTTAATTATCAATGTCTTTTCACATAAATACCAATGGAATATTAGTATTTACAGAAGCAAGTATGTGCAATCAATGATGGAGAAAACAAACCGACTGAAAGGATTGAAAATCCATCGTATTCTTTTAAAAATCTGTCGACGCTTGTCGCTACGGGATTGACAATAACTTCGCTGGAACGCATTCCGTTGCATATTGTCACTTCTGAATTCAACGAGGAGCAGATGCAACGCATATCGTATTACGGGATCGATGAATGTTTCGCACGATATCGCGGGACGCTATCCACCGTGATCCCGTTTCCCCCCCTGGTGAATCGTCGTAAACACGAAGTCGTAAAACGCATGAGAACGCCTAGCACCAGGTAGTTGACCGAGCGCATGTAAATGCCGCCCCCCTGCCCCGTCGTCGGATGACGCTGGTGGCCCGGTGGTGTTTTTTTTCCCCGTACGGTATCCAGTGCAGTTTCGTGTTTTAATGTTGATTGGACGACTGCCGATTCGGCCGACGTTCGTTTGCCACGATTGTTGTTTCGCACACGGAACGTGGACCGGGCGAGAATTTTGAAAATTCGTCGCGTGCATCCAGCGGTAAAGCAACGGTGGCCATACGTTGGATAAATTGACTACGAAATCGTGAGCGCACGTAGATTTATTTCCTTTCGAGCGGTTACGCGTTGTTTTGCCACGAGTTCCCGCGGATTCGTTGTTAAAAATGACGACGGATTCATTGAATTCGGTAAATTTTTCTTCTCCGACGTTCACATTTCTGAGCCCCTTTTAACTCGTTTCCAGATTTCCGAACAGAATGTAAGTTATAATCCAGTTTTCACTGCTTTTCATAGATCACTATACTCAATTCTCGTGTTTTTAATTCCACCAGCACCTGCTGTTACGGTTTGTGCGAGTTTAAAAGTTTTAATGTAGAATGTTATACGACTTTTGTAGGGAATTTCGTTTGAAAATAGAAGTTTTTGAAATTCTCTTAACTACAGGCTTTTATTGTGTACCTTCAGTTTACGACATCGTTATTAGTAGCTTCATCCTTGTATGTCAGGGAGATTTAGAGTCGTGCGCTGAGTTTGACAAAATGTGCACGCGACGTTGATAGCTACCGGCCGCAAACTGTCTCGTTGGTAATCACTCTCACTTTATTACCGGCAACAGATTTATTCTCTGATAAAGGACAGGTATACGGTCGGGTATTGTTATTATAAGGAGGGATCTATGGAAGCTATGAAGCTGTCATGTAGCAACTGAATAGTCGAGATGTATGTGCACACAGGATGAGTCTAAGTAAACGCTTGAATATGAAAACCAGTTTGGCTTGCGGTATAAATACACACGGGAATTTCGATGGAGAAATACTCGAACAATCCCTTTGGGTAATTCAACAGATTTCAACGATAAATTCCGGCTTAAAATGTTGATCTTCCGAGATAGTACACATCCATACGTTCGAATAACAAATAACGTATCACAATTATGTGTTTACTCTCTTGGGAAAGCATTAGTTTACATGATTCGCCTCGATGCCCTAGAAATTCCAAATTCATCTCTCGAAGTCAGCCAATCGTCGAAGAACTTACAACAGTAAATCAACGGAAACACTGTTCTGCGTTAACAAAAAATATACGTTAGTAGATTAAATTCCTTTCAAAAGGTTATTTCTTCATTCACAGTTCATGTTTTCATGATAACAGGATAAGTACACCTGTACTACCTTGACAAACACGCACAGTTTCACTATACCGAATACAACCCCTTCCAAGTTTGAAGTCGAAGCAAGTGCCCCGAAACAACCCTCTATTTCATAAGCAATAACCTAATACGTCACGTTAGGTGGCCGGTACAGCCTTGCAATCGGCCTTCGAACATTCCGCGTAAATCAAACCCTATCGTCCGGGCGTTCGAGCGTGACACTCGATTGCGCAAACAAGCCGTGGACCTGCCAATTTCGCTGGTCCACAATATTGTATCCGAAGCCTCGTAAATTCCCCAAACGAGGTACAAAAGTGGTCGAAGTTCACGCGACAGCGACTCGACAGGCTGGGAACATGTCCCCCGTTTTTCGTATTCGGGTCGCAGGCTCCGTATCCTGTCCCAGGAATAATTCCCTTCTGTATAACTGTGCTGGATGCAGCCAATGGAACCGTGTCGCAGATACCTCGATAACACTACATGCGGAAGTGGTCCGTGAGTCGCGGCCGAAGAACGAGAAAGGGGACGAGAGGAACCATAGCGCGCCGTGGCCCATCAAAAATTCAATCCATACGAGTATGTTCGTTGTTTCGTGTCCCAGAGAAAGGCGTGTCGTGGAAAAGAAACAAGGGGTTGGGGAGTAGAGTTGGGGGAGGGGGGTGAGAGGGCGCAACGTTTCGTGGAATTTTCGATGCGACGGCTGGAAAATGACGAATGTATGTACAACGTTCAAGGAAAACGGAAAAGGTGAGACACACCGCCACCGTAAGGGAAACGGAAGGCGGCGATGGGGAAGGGCGCGTCGGTAGGAAAGAGTTACATCGGAGAAATTGGCGCCTGCTTTGGTTCCTGAAGCATGTGTGCCCCATAAATAACATGTAAATATTTTCAATAACTGCCGAGGCGGCCCCAACATGAAAAATGCAAACCGCTTTGCGTCCGGTCCTCGTTCCGCCACCATCGTGTATAGTAACCGTGTGGCAACCCTTCTCCAACCCCTAGCGAGCCACTCGAGGATCGTACGCCCCGCTCCTCGACCCCCCACCCCTACCCCCTTTCACCCCTCCTAAACTCTACCTCGACTACCTCGCCAAACTATCTTTTAATATATCTGTATGTACATGGTGTCCCGCGCAAAATTTATGGTACCGGACGCCGGCCGATATTTGTTTCACTCGAGCGGCGACTTCGCCCCCCTGCCCCTCCAGATACACACACACACACGCCTTACCCTGGGAACGGTTATATGTTCCCGCCAGCGTGTGTTTTCCCCCCCCCCCCGGTTCGGAAAAAGAGCCAGCACACGGAACGATATAATTCCGCGAATATGGAATCGTGACTCTCGGGCGCGACGTGCACCGTTGCACGGGACCGCCGAACGCCGGGTCCGAATCGCTAAATTTATACGGGCGGTGACTTCGGTGGTATTTATCCCCTTTGCATTCGGTAGTAAATTTGATGGTACGTTCTGGAAATAAGGATAGTAAACTGTACGGTTTGCTAGATTTAAAAAGTAAACGAAATATCGTATGGTACGATGATAAAGTTCGAAGTTTAATTTTGTTTCCGTTGGAGAGGTACCGATGTAAACAGTTACGCCCCCCTGCTGGGTAGCCTGATTCCCCTCTCCACTTGTGTGCGAAAGGTGAACTTTGCGAATCGTTTTAGTCATTGTGCAGGTTGGTTCGCGTGAAGACGTGTTTGAGTTCCGTGTTAGGTGAAAAATGGACGTTCTAGATGTTCAGCCGTTCTAGCGAAACAGTTTTTAAATTGAAAGTCGATCGCGACGTTGGAGCATCCCTCGGTATTCATCTGATTTATCTTCGTGCGATTTTTTTATCGTGTTCGCCAGTAAAAGGTGTCATGAAAGGAACGCATTTTCAGTGAGTGTCTAATATTCGAAGTAAAGTAACGGGGGTAATAAAACAGATACCAGAAATTTTACGATCAATGTATCTGTTCGCTCCAATGCTTGTGTACAATTTCAAAGGAACTACGTACTTTGAAGGCGATGGCCTCACTTTCTTTCATTTTCAAAATAATATTTTTAATTTATTTATTCTCGAAACTTCATTGTCACATGTCTTATATATTTTTTCTGTGTTGAATATCAGTGAAATATATTAAATAGTTTAAGTATGCTGATTTTCACTGCCATAAAATTGATGGATGACTATTGTGTGTTGCAGGGGCTTTGGATTCATCACGTTCGCAGATCCCGCGAGTGTAGATAAAGTGCTGGCACAGGGTAACCACGAGTTAGATGGCAAGAAAGTAAGTACTCAACGTTACATTGGTAATTCGTCGAGCGGGCTCTGTGTTTTAAATCACATTACCAACAGCCACGCCACTGTGATCACAAATTGTCCCTTTACTTACGTCGTGTATTCGTAGAACACGCTTTAAAATTGATGGAAACCTGAAATACGAGACCCGTGTTTCCATCATAATATTTTCTTTCGGACATTTAATTATCTTCCCTATTACCCGCAATTCTTTATCGAGCAACAATCGAGATACTCCGTCTTCCTACTATTCTCTCGATTTCCATTGCGTAGCTACGATGACCCATCAATTTCTTGTTCCGATAGATCGAGACAAACACGAGCCGTCGTGCACCAGTCACACGGGCAATATTTATCTATCGACTGCGATCAATTAACCTGGAGAGACCGTACTATATCAATTATCCCCGAGAAACAACTCCGCGAAACTTAATTGCTCTCGCGGCACACATTTGATTGCGGGGACACCGTGCGAACCGATTTTTCTCATATACTGCAGAAGCCTGTCTTCTTGCCCGACGAGACGGACAATCGATATCGCCGTCGTCCGTCTTCGTTCGATGTGCAACCCGTTTCTCCGTTTTCCCCTCTGTCTATCGTGCTGTCTCTCATTACCCATTTTTCTGCCCTGTCACTGTTTCACCGCGCGTGCCCCACCGGTGCGACGGCGGCTCCCGGATGGATATCGGTGACCTTAAGTGCTCGTTAGGTACGACGAACTAACGATCCCCTAATTAGTGCGTAATAGAACGCTGGTACCAAGACGTGCCCTGGTTCTACGTGTCCTAACAATCTTTCCCCGCTTTTCGATAAGTATCTCCGCGAGCTCACGCCGTGAAAAAAACTCGTCCAGCCGGGAATGATTCATCGATCTTCATAGGCATTGATACGGTGGCTTATGGTACGTACCTGTTTTACTGGTGGAAACGATACGGTGAAAATGTCTTTGGAGAAATCTCGAGCGCTGTTTCCCTGGGAGTATACAGTTGGTCATTCAGTGGGATAGCTTGCACGAATACTGTTTTATAATAGTGATTAAGACGAAAGTAAAAGGAAAAGATTTCGAGAGAAAGGGAAAAGAAAAGACAAAGAATATACAGGACAACAGAAGCCTGAATAGAAACGCGACGGGGTCGGTCGTCCCGGGTCGCACACTGCCATTCTCGTGTACTATCGAGGAGGTGTTACACACCGGCACGGCGCCCTCGCAATTTGCATTAGTCGAGCGAATTACGCCGAAATTTATGTGAGTCTGGATATACCCGTAGCGGCGGCGGCGCGGCGGTCCTACGGTTAATACGTATTCGGGAGTACTTACGGAAGCGACCGCGCGCCAGTCGTCGTACTTATGGTTCTGTGGACAGTTAATGTCCGCAACTATTTCTCTCTGTCCGCCCAATCCTCCCGCTCACCCCCGTTCACCGCCTTAAGATATTATTCCCTGCGTATTGTCTCTTCGGTGTCGGGCCCTGGGGCCGCCGGCCGAAACGTATTTGCCACACTGTGACACGTCGCCGTTTCGACGATTAATCTCTGCCAAAAGCATCGTTCTGGTCGACGGCGGGGCGGGGGAGAGGAACGCAGCGATGCGTGGTGCAGGGGAGAGCCGGCCACGTTGCCTGGTAATTGTCTAAGCGCGCGTAAAACGAGAGCCCACCTCCCCCCACACACGAAAAGTTTCGACGTCGAAAACGTTGTCGCGAGCAAAACTCCTATGCGGCGATTCGACGCGGTACCGCCGTTAATGCGGAACCCCGTGTGCCCGTGGAATTCGTTTAATTCGTTTGTTTGCTTTCGACTGGCCGTTCGACGTATCCGCGAGACGAGCAACCCTCTCTCTCTCTCTCTCTACCGACTGTTTGCCATTTACCCGGATGATACTCTGAAGAGGGGAGGGAGAAATGAACAGTGACAGGGGGAGGATTCCAGACAAACGGGTTTTAATGTTCATTCATATGTGGAGAAGCGGTCGTGTGTACGGCAGGGCGGCGATGTATTGACGCGAATTTTGCGGCGTGAGAATGGTCTCGCGGTTGATCCTTTATCGCGATGCAAATGTGATACGTTAATAGTGACGATATTTTAATTAGAATGATATCGGTGATTTATTTTAGGTGATATATTGTAGTGTATATTGGAGTGAAATTGATGTCTGTATCTAGGTTATTTTCTTTTGCACGGGGATGGGGTTATAGAATCATATGAAAGGATTCTTATGATTTTTATCGATACGGAGACAATAAATATGCACTCGTGAATGATTTTTGAATAGCTGTTCTTGGGGGACAACGTACGTGACGCTTCACATTAACAAAGTTCAAACAATTGTAATAGATGAAACGAATTGGAGTATACAAGTTAATGAAATCATTTTATACTTCAAAAGACTGTTGTGGACAGCTTTAATAATTAGTTGTTATTGAATAAAGGTGGTTTGAAGTTGTTCTTCCAATTGTTTTGATATATTTCTGTATATTTATTGTATTTATAGGTAAATATTTTGAATCGTAACTTTCGAAAGAGAACGTTCGCTGGCGTACGTTTATGTATCGTACTCGGGAGGCCAAGCAAATTATAATGGATGAAACTCACAAATAGTATTTATGTAAATGCTGGTTACCGTGGTAAATAAAATTAGACATACTTTATAACCATATCTGTCATTTTTCCGCTGGATTTCACATATTATGTAAAAGTTCTCTTTAACTCTACGAACTTGTAATTTTCATACTGTCGTAACATACGAATAAATCAGATTTCAGTATAAGTGCGAAATATTTCAAGCACGAAAAGATATTTAACGGTAACATTACGAACATTCATTCACGAGTATATATTTATTAAATTCTTCTAGTTCAGGACGACATTCTCTGTTAGATTCCGCGCCAGTGTCCTTGCGTTTACAGCCACTCTCCAAATCTCAGCCCACCCCCCATTCGCAGAGTCCTCGAGGTTTGCCCTTTGTATCACTCTTTTCGTCGCCCACCTTTTGTCTTCCACTTTTGTGCAAGAAATGCAAGCCAGCAAGAGTGCGCGCACGACTTTCTCGTCCACTGACAAGCTTCGTCACATTAATTAGCGGATCGTTCGTCCCCGCTTGCATTAATGAACGCTCTCGTGTAATTCTCAAGAGGTCTTTGGCCCGTGGTGTGTGCGCGAGAGAAAATAAACGAAACAAAGGGGGACAAGAAGCCGTTCGGGTACGGACCGGAAGTCGCGACACCGACGCCGGATCCTACGGCTCGAAGCGTATCGACGAATGCGTTCACCTCCACCCCCACTGCATCCCCCTCGCCCTAGGGAAAGCACGGATGAAATTCAACGTGGCTTCCACCTGGGGGGAAGAAAGGTCTCGATTATACTCCGTCGAGTAGATCGTTTCGCGGTTACCTACTTCGCTCACTTTCATCCGTTTTATATTTCACTCGAGGACACTCTCTTCCGTTCGTTTCTTATTATCTTCGTCGTAGCCTCGGACTCTGTCTCTCTCTGAATTATGAAGACGATGAAGTGTCCGCGCACTCGACGACGATGCGGGAGAGTACGTAATCAGGAACGGCATTCTTCTTTCGGAATGAACCGGATGGAATATCACGAGACAGGCACCGAGAAATTTGGTATGGAATAATAATTAAACGATAGTTTTGTCGTTTCGACTGCTTCACCGGTTGGATAAAGTGACGAGCATGGACGTGGTTACAGTAAATACTCGATGAGTGTTCGAAGGCTCCTCGGCGCTGACAATGAAAGGTCATTAGGTATAACGCTGACTTTTTAATAAAGTTTAGCACCGTGATAGAGCTCAGAATTCTGAAGCCAATTATATTTGTTCCAACTGCATATGGCCGTTAATTTATGAAATATTTAATGTTCAGTGCCGAGGAACCTCCGAACACTCATCGAGAATTTACTGCGTACTATTTTACTAAGTTAACCTAACTCCTTCTGGTCGGTTTGAAAAATTTGATGCACGTGTGCTTTACATGAACTTTATTCACATTTTTATGTCTGTTTACAAAGGACCGTTTTCAGGCGAATTTGGTATTAAATATAAAATACAACAGTTGAACTTTTCCACACAAATACTATTCGAATGACAGATACTGTCGTAGCAATTGTTGAATATTACTAAAGATTTTCAATCGAAAAACTGTCATTATTGCTGCACACGTCTAATATATATATTTTGAAATATAAAATGTACAATTTTACCCGACAGTTGTTCTTATTAATTTTTCTTTCTTCTACAATTATGCCTCTATATTTCATACTTGGACGGGGAATGTTTTTATTACCAGGGGGATCGTATGTGTCCGCGACAGGACGACAAGAACGTTAATATTATCGAAAATCACCGGCAACGCATGCAAGAGCGATTTTGCAAATCGATAGCCTCGCCGTTTCTCTCTATTTGTCCGGGACAATGATTTCGCAACCCGCCGCGTAAGCACCCGCAGCGTGTGCCGCCTATGGCCGATCAGAATGGCCGTCAAATTGCGCTTAATCGGCCCTGGTTCTGATTAAAAAATACGTGGATCGCACGTGCCGCGGCCGTACGACCTCATTTGCTTTCCGTTTAATCGTGTCGCGCGATTCAGCAATAGCTAAATCAATCGACGGTTCGTATATGTATATCGCGCGATAAATAGAATACGTGCAGTCAAACGCCATAACGATACACTAATAACACTTCTTTTGGTGTTCCCAGCCAATATAGAATTTTCTATTCGTAAATAGACGCATGATCATGTGGGGACCATAAGTTTTTGGTTAATTTCTTGCAGTACTATTTGTATTTTGTGAATTATGTATTTGTAACAAAATGTGTTTCACCAGGAATCATTGGTGTTAATGAGTGTTTATTTTTAGTGACTGTCGGAATTGAGAAGTATCTTGAGATAAATTATTTCCAGGCAACTATTTTTATGCCTGGGGATTATCTGTACTTCGATATGGTGAAAAGAAGCAATCTTGAGCTTGAAAGGTCTT